TGATTGGTTGATGTTGGTTAGCATAGTTAACACAAAAAAATGGGTTAGTATTTGAACCAACCTCTCTCTCTCTCTCTCTCTCTCTATATATATATATATATATATATATATATGGTTGGGTTTACGTGAGACCAAAGGTTTTTTGTGAGACTCATAAGATCAATTTATGTTCATTGTTCAACTTTATAAGTTAAAGATCTAATGGTCTAAATTGCACGGTGACAATTTTGTGATTATTGAGAAGTTTTGTGGCGTTTATGAATGTTTAGATTTTCAGATTGTAGATCTAATCCAAGGGTTGAGAATTGGTCTTATGGGTCTCACGAAAAACCATTGGTCTCACATAATCCCAAGTATATATATATATATATATTGAGGAGCGATCAAATGAAAACCGTCCTCATTTGTGTAAACCATATAAACCAATCTCCATCCATCCATTTTTTTGATTAATGGTCAAAATTAGTTTAGTTTATATTAGAAAGTTAAAAAAAATAAAAAAAATATTTTTTAATTGAAAAAAGGACAAAGTTGTAAAACCGTCTATATCAATAAATCGGGTATAATCATCAGTTTCCTTAATCAACTCCATTTTGAATAAGGAAACAATATTTTTAACTATTATATTTAATGAATAAAATGATCTCACCGTATTTTTTACGATACATAAATCAACGTCTTTCTAGAAGGAGCCATATGTCATTTTCATTTTCTCTGAAGATGGATCCGTTTCAATATTATTATGAAATAGTTTAACTGTTTGCCTATTAAACACCATGTTCTTAACGTTAACATCTCAACCGTTTACAATAACCATTCCATGAACCTGTTTCACAACTTATAACAATTAAAAATACTGCATCCACCATGCCATACAAATCAATAACCATTAAGTGAACTAGATAACCCGGGAAAAAAACGAAATGATTTCATCAACAATTGTTGATAATGAAACAATATTATTCAAGAATATATTTCGTATCCTAGTATATTATGCAACGATTTAAACCACAGATGAAACGATTTCATGAACGAAATGGTTTCACAATTTCATCAATACACAAATCAACGTAATACTAAATGAGACATTTGACATTTTCATGTTTTTGGTAGATGAATCCGTTTCAATCTAATTATGAAATGGTTTCACTGTTTGCTAATTACACAACATGTTCTTAACAATTATGAAATGGTTTCACTTTCGTTATGCACCCATTTCATTGACAAAGTTTTTGCAATCCGAACAAGTTTCATAGCATGAATCTGTTTCACTAATATTTATAGTTTTACCGGTTCATGAATCTCTGTTTAGGATCTGTTACTGATTTTGTGGATCAATCAATATAAGCTTTTGATCTTCATAGACCCGTAAGACCAATTTATGTTCATTGATCTAATGATCTAAAGTTGCACGGTGACAATTTAGTGATTATTGAGAAGTTTCGTGGTGTTTAACTGTTTATGAATGTTCAGATTGTCAGATAGTAGATCTAATCCAAGGGTTGAGAATTGGTCTTACGAGTCTTATGGAAAACCCTTGGTCCAAGTATATATATATATATATATATATATATATATACACACACACACACACACACCAGAAGGGTACCCGCGCAATGCAACGAGATAAATCTTCATTTTAATGTTTAGTTTTTTAATTATTTGTCTCTATCGATATAATACAATTTTATGTGGTTTTGAGAAAGTTTTATTTTTATTTTTGAATGAAATATAAATTTGAGGATAGCATAAAAAATAAAAAATAAAATCGATATTAGTATTAAATTAATTATTTAATAGTTTTCGTTGTTTTGGTGTAACTTTTTTAATTCAATTTTTTATTTTTATTTAATTTAGGTCTAATAACAAAATAATTTATTTTTGATCTAATAATATAATTTTTATTAAATACAATAATAAAACATTCGGTTAGAAACTCAATGATTATCTTAATTATATTTTAGATTTTTTATATTTAAAATAGATGTTTATCTTGTATTTGATTATGTTTATCTGCAGCTAGTTACACGAATTTATAAATAAATCTTTAATAAGTTGTACTTATGCAAAATCATTTGTAATCTTGAATTTTAAGTAATATACATCAATAAGCAGTACTTCATACATAAAAAAATGATTTTTTAGAGTTTTTGTCAAATGTCTTATAATATAATATAGATATAGATAAAATGGTCTTGGCGTTATATATACAAGCAACTCTCACCTTCATCTTTAAATTATGTTGAATCGATTAATTGGTACACACCTAACTTGAGAATTCCACGCTGACGACGATGAGATAGGATCGTCCGACTTCTACACACGGTTACGTGCAGCCATGACACAAGATGAAATCTTTAATTCCAGTTTACCCATTTCACATCTTCATCATCCCTATAAATACGTGTTATCCACATGCAATTAAACACCACCACAAATAATTCAAGATATCTTTATAATAGCTGTCACTACGTACTATACACAAGATGAAAACACTATCGTTGCTTCTTCTTTTCTCCACAATCTCTCTTTGTTTGGGCCAACCATCGCCAGATCCGGTTCTCGACATTGATGGGAACTTGGTCCGGTCCGGAACAGACTACTACATCTTGCCGGTGTTCCGAGGAATGGGTGGTGGAGTAACCCTAGCTTCGACGAGAAATGAGTCGTGCCCACTTGACGTAGTTCAAGAACCCCAGGAAGTTGACAATGGCCTGCCGTTAACATTCACACCGGTTGACCCCAAGAAAGGCGTGATTCGGGAATCCACAGATCTTAACATTATATTCTCGGCTTTATCGATATGTATTCAGTCGAACGTTTGGAATCTAGAGGAGTATGAGGGACAACTGATCGTGTCGGCTCGTGGGGTGTCGGGAAACCCTGGTCAGGAAACAATAAGCAACTGGTTCAAGATAGAGAAGTATGAAGATGATTACAAGATTGTGTTCTGCCCCACGGTTTGCGACTTTTGCAGGCCTGTTTGTGGAGATATTGGTGTTATAATTGGTGAAGATGGAAGCAGACGTCTAGCTATACGTGATGTGCCATTCAAGGTTTTCTTCAAGAAGGCATAAGTACTACTTTTGTATACACACATGAATGGTTTTACTAGCTTTAATTAATTAATATACTTGTGTTTAAAAATTATATGTAAAAATAAATGATTATGTTGACTGATGTCTTCTAATCGTATTAATTATCATCAAATGTTATATGAGATCCATTAATTAAACTAAGGAAAATATTATCATAGAAGACGTAAAAATGGATATAAATTTCAGAATAATAAAAACAAGTTTTATTTGGTAGAGTTGATTTGTAAGAATTTTATTCCACTTCAGATCCAAGTTCGAATCATGTTAACGTCATTTTTTTAGTCAAATGATGTCACCGTTACATTTATATATTAATTATATACAGATTATAATATAATTAAAAAAGCAAACGTAGGTCGGCATGCATGTATTGAATTGATTTATTTTGGGCACGAAATCAATGTTGGTCATTGCACGTTTAATATCATATTGATGAAAATATGCGTGTAGGCAAGAAACATGATGAGGGTGAGAGCATTAAGTATTTGGCCCCCCATGGAATCGAATTGGCTTCTGAATATAATCAAATCTTTTCCACATTGATGTCATTATAAAATCATTAGAAGATTACTTGCTCAATATAACGAGACACATCTCGATTTTAATGTTCTATTTTATTATTTGTTTATGTCGATGTTATAATATAATTTTATGTGTTTTTAAAAAAAAACATCATGATTTTATTTTTGAATAAAATATAAATGTGAAGATATCATAAAAAAATTAAAAAAATATATCAATGTTAATATCAAAATCAACTATTTAAAAGTTCTCATTTTTTAATTTATTTTTTTATTATAATTTAATTTAAGTTTAATAACAAAATAATTTATTTTTGATTTAATAATATAACATTTTATAAAAATAATAATTAAGTATTTTGTTAGAACTCAATGATTATCTTAATTATATTTTAAATTTTTTATATTTAAAATGAGATGTTTATCCTATATTTGATTATGTTTATCTGCAGTTAGTTACACGAATTCAAATATGAAGTTTTAATAAGTTGTACTTACGCATAATCTACTTGCAATCTTGAGTTTTAAGTTTTACGCATAAAAAATAGGTTTTAAGAGTTTTTATCAAATGTTTTATAATATAGTATAGGTAAATCAATAATTTTGGTTTATTAAAAATAAAATGCAATTAAAAAATAAGTAAAGTATTTTTTATTATTCGACATGTGAACACAACAAATATATTGTATTAATATGAAGCATTCTTTTAAGAACTGTACAATTTATAAGATCCGATATGATTTAATATTGACCATAAATAATATTAAATAAATGGTTAAATTAGTAAATTATCAACTTTGGTAGTTTTGACTTAGAGATTTAAATAAATAGTGTAACACCCTCATTTTCACCATGAGTTGTGTCACGTCATTCTCATTAAATAACAATAAATAACCCCAATATATAGTGGCTAATAAAACCTTATTACAACGGAAGTCTTATAAATTCAATTAAAGTTAATAACTCAACGCTAACCCGTCCCATACCGGGTTACATTACAAAATGAGTTTAAGCATAAACCTAAACATCCGAAATATAATAATATAATTATCTAGGAGAGAACCTCACTCTTGTCCACCCTTGAACCTCTTGCACCTGAGATGCATACTAATAGTCAGCTTTATAAAGCTCAGTGAGTTCATGGTTTTTGTGCACAATCATACACACCTCATCATGCATAAAACGAACAATGCCCCGAATAAAATAATATGCGCATTTGTTTCAAACTCTTTTGAAATAATAATGAGATCTCTTAATTTCCCGTCGGGTTAAGGTCTTACCGTCATCGGCACTTCCCCGAGTTACACGGCTATCCCTTGTCCGGTCACCCATCCCTAGGATGTGCCATCCCTACGACTTTTGACCCTTCCCATTCCCGACAAAAATATTAACTCATTTATAACATGCTAATTAATGTTTAAAAACACGTAAACAAATAGCATGCAACCCACAATAATAATTCATATACATGTAATAAACCCATAAACATGTACATAAAAAAATAATGTAATGCTCAAATAATTTGTACGTAAGCATGCATCTCAGTTAAAATCTCATGAAGACTCACCTTAATAGCTCCGCTTAGCTAAACCTCGTCCCTGAGTAATATCCTATAACATGTAATTGTATTTCAATATTAGAGTATTGACTTTTCCCCAAAAAAGTCAACCCAAAAGTCAAATGGGTCAACCTTAGGGTGGGCATGGTCAACGGGTCAACCCCAAGCATACCTCGTYGCCATATACCCCCCTCCCCAATGGAATTTTTCATATCCAAAATAAATTACGACGTATTAAACCCAACATTTAATTATATACGTCTCTCGTTATAAAAACGTCCGATCCCACAATTATCTAGTCACAACTCCCGAAATAAGTTATTAAATTATTTCTTATAATTTAAATATGAAAATCCAATTAATTAATAACCTTTATAATTGATGTCCAAATCTTGACCAACTTAATCGAAACATCCCGATTTATTTCGATTAATCCAAGTAAATAAACGAGTCCCAAATCTATTTTTAACAAATACTGATTTTAACAAAACAACTCGAGTCTAACCGAACTTGACCGAAATAAGTCGGCCATGGCCTAAACCTGGTCTAGTGTCGGCCGACTCAACTCGACGCACGGCCCAACCCGGTCGCACCCTTGGTGCGGCTATCGTGAACGATATTCGTTTGAGATATTTTTCCGATCGTTTTTCACCAAAMTTTTTACAAAATCTTATACATAATAATAATCCCAACTCGTATCCAAATTTACAGCCCCTACGGTTCAATATTAAACTCGTATTTTGAGTTTTTGTMCCCGAATCTCGTCRAGTCGCCGCCACAGCAGCTTCTAGCCTAAACCGCTCGATGTACAAGCCACCATAGCCCACGAGACTTGTACCAATAGAAAGATAATTGAAAAACRAAACCAACCATATATTATACATCAATTTTGGTTGAGTATTTTACCTCCAATCGCCGTTTTTGTGCGGAATGACCCTATGYCGCTTCAAACTCGATATCTCTCTCGTTTCTTGATGAAATCTCGAAATTCCAAAAACATTTACTCCCTTACACCCTTAGGAACGTCTCCACAAAATTTCAGCCGAAAACTCCAATTTATAGTTTGTCAAACGGTCTCTAGAATAGGAAAAATGTGATTTGGGGAATGATTTCCCAAATTTCAATCATTTCCAAATTAGTTTTCTACTTTTGGCAGAACTAGTCCCTTTTGTTTTTCTTTCTGCACTTTCATACCAAATCAATTAAATACAAAATGTTTCATTTCTCTTTTTTTTAATGATTTTATTTATTGCAATAAAATCATATTTTTCGAGTATCGACACTTTAGTCCCGTATGTCGTTTACTCTTTAAATTTTAACCCTTAACATTTATTTATTTTACGAATCATAAATTTTTAGGGTGTTACAAATAGTATTATGGAGGTTTACAAATTTTCTCTCATTAACAAAATAACCTAACAAGTATCATTAAGTAATCCATTGGAGTCACAAGTGAATACAAAAACACAAAAAAAAAACACCAAAAACAAAAAACTACGAATCATTAAAAATATTTTTATAAAAACTTGGATACATATTGTGAACAAAATCGATAATCAAGTTAAATATCCATCAAACGTCTCCGATGAACCTAAAACAAAAAATCTGTAGTATCATAATGTGAATCATTATCAAATATATTGTTTCAATTAAACATTGTGACCGTCTATTTCTTATACATTGTGGTCACCTAACTTTACATATTATGATCACCTTATAAACACAGTGTCATACAAACTCACTAAGAACAAAAAACCAAAAAAAAAAATCTAAAGATCTCTAAAACTATTGTGTAAGGAATTTGATACATATTGTGAACACATAATTTTTACACGTTGTGATTATCTATTTTTTTTTACACGTATTTTTTTTACACATTATGATTACCTATTTTTTTTATAAACGTAATCATCGTGAACATAATGCAATATGAAGAAAAAACTAAAATAAAAACAACTAAAGATCCCTAAAAATATTGTGTAAGGAATTAGATTCACATTTGTAAACGATTAACTAATGTTTTATTTCAAAAGTTACAGATTTTCTATTTAGAGGAAAAATAAATTAATTAAATGCATTTATAACTTGACTAAATAATATTTTTTATATCTATTTAATAAATAATATAACCATCTCAATTGAGTGGTTCAATTGGATCTCACAAATTCTAGGTTTTCATTTGATTAACTCTCTCTATATATATGTCAACATATTTTAGCCATAGGTTTATTTGAGAAATGATAAGTATTTAAAAAGTAGAGAAGTGATCTTAATCTTTCATCTAATCAAAATTTGTGACTTTGACTGTGAAGTAACATATAATTCGTGAGGACGTTATATGGGTAGTTTCAGAGTTTTTACAAATAGACGGCAAAACAAGTACATATGTGAACCCGTGTGATTCATACATGAACTATATGTTCATATGTGAACCTGTGTAATTCATATATGAACTATTTAACTGATTCAATATGAACTAATCAACTGATTCACATATGACCTATGGGTTCACATACACACTTGTTTGCCGTCTATTTATAAAAATTACATCCCCCCTCTATTTTTTGCTTGACCAATCAAAGCCATAAACCTACACCAATCAAAGCCGTATTTTGACTAATCTTAACCATAGAAAGAACTACAATCACTTATTACTTATTAAATACTTACCACTTCTCAAATAAACCTCTCCCACATCTTTCATATGTTAACTCATATATTTCCATATATACGGATTTGTCATATCTTAAATTCAATAAAAACTTTGTAGTCACCTGCACATAGAAAATCTATGATTTAGAGTAGGAAATTTATTTTATTTAATTATTTGAAGTATGAAAATGCTTTTTTTTATTAATCTGGATATCCAACCCGTTATGCAAACCGACTAATCCGAGAACGACCACTTGCTTTGCAGGTAGCCCGAAGTCATCGTATTTGAACCTCTGTGATTACAAAAAGGTTTTTATTCTTGTTTGGATTTGAACCTGAGATCTCCACCTCCAGATACTTTGATCTAAGATCAAACCAATCATGCACTCGTCCACCCTTATGGTTTGAAAATGCTTTTATCATCATGCTTGTGAAGAAATATTAATTAAATATGCATAGCTCCAGCTCCTGATTGGAAGAATTTGGGACATGGTTTAAGAAAGAAGCAATGTTGATAAATAAAAAGAGGTTGACACCTTCATTGCGTCGGTTCTTCCATATCTACCTGTTTTTGACCATTTCCATCCTAACCAATCTATATACCTTAATTTAGATTTCAAAATTGATGATCAGATAGGATCCTGCGACTTATACACSCAATTACGTGCAGACTGCAACTATTTCAAGTCTTATTCCCTATAAATACATGTTATTTTCCCATGCAATTACATACAAGAAACCTTTTACAAGATGAAAACAGTACTCTTATTCCTTCTTTTCTCCACAATCTCGCTTTCTTTCGGCCAAAAATCGCCTGATCAAGTTCGTGACACTGACGGGAACTTGCTGCGATCTGGCACAGACTACTACATCTTGCCTGTATTCCGAGGAAGGGGTGGTGGAGTAACACTAGCTCCCACGAGAAATGAGTCATGCCCGCTTGACGTAGTCCAAGAAGGCTTCGAGCTCAAGTTCGGTCTGCCATTGAAGTTCACACCAGTGAACTCCAAGAAAGGCGTCATCCGGGAATCCACAGATCTTAACATTATGTTCTCGGCTTCAACATCATGTGTTCAGTCTAACGTTTGGATGCTCGAGGCGTACAAGGGACAACTGATCGTGTCCGGTCATGGGGTGTGGGGAAACCCTGGTCGGGAAACCATAAGCAACTGGTTCAAGATAGCAAAGTATGAAAATGACTATAAGCTTGTCTTCTGCCCTACCGTGTGCAACTATTGCAAGCCTGTTTGTGGAGATATTGGTGTTAAAATTGCTGAAAATGGAAGCAGACGTCTAGCTATWAGTRAWGTGCCTTTCAAGGTTAAGTTCAGGAAGGCATAATATGAGCATACTTACTTGTGTTTAATTTACATGTAAAAATARAAGACATGGACTTAATGTCTTCTAATTTTATAATTAAATAAACGGTGAATAAAACACAATCGGGTTCTGTTTAGTCCCCAAACTCCACACACATTCCTTACAAACATTAAAAAACTACGAATCATTAAAAATATTTTATATAAACTTATTGTGAACAAAATCAATAATCAAGTTTAAATATTCACCAAACGTCTCCGATAAACCTAAAACAAAAAATCTATAGCATCACAATGTGAATCATTATCAAATATATTGTTTCAATTAAATATTATAACCATCTACCTATTTTTTTACACTATGTGGTCATCTACTTTTTACACATTGTGATCATCTTGTAAACACAACATGATACAAACACACTAAGAACAAAAAAAAAAAAAAAACCAAAAAAAAAAAAAAAATCCCTAAAACTATTGTGTAAGGACTTGGATACACATTGTGAACACATAATTTTTACACATTGTGATTATCTATTTTTTTTTTATAAATGTAATTATCTTGTGAACATAATGGCAATATGAAGAAAAAACCAAAATGAAAACAACTAAAGATCCCTAAAAATATTGTGTAAGGAGTTGGATTTACATTTGTAAACAATTAAGTAATGTTTTATTTTAGAAGTTATGGATTTTCTATTTAGAGGAAAATAAATTAATTAAATGCATTAATGACTAAATAATATTTTTATATCTATTTAATAAATAATATAATCATCTTAAATGAGTGGTTCAATTGGATATCATGAATCTTACAATTCTATGTTATCATTTCATTAAGCCCCTATATATATGTCAACAGATTTTAGCCATAGGTTCATTTTGATAAATGATAAATATTTGAGAAGTAGATAAATGATCTTAACCCTTCATCTAATCAAGATTTGTGGCTTTGACTGTGAAGTAAGAGATAATTACTCACATGTTATGCGGAGATACAATGATAGTTTCGTAACTTTTACAAACTAGAAGGATACTCGTGCAATGCAACGAGATAAATCTTGATTTTGATATTTCGTCTTTTTTTTTTGTCTCGGTAGATGTTATAATATGGTTTTATATGATAAAGTGTTTTTATTTTTAAATAAAATATAAATATGATGATATCATAAAAACTTGAAAAAATATATTAATATTAATACCAAAATAACTATTTAAAATTTCTCTTTTTTTGTGTAATTTCTTTAATTAATTTTTTATTTATAATTTAGTTTAGAATTAATGAGAAGTTATTTATTTTGGTTTAATAATATAATCTATACTATATTATAACATTTGATAAAACTCTTAAAAACCATTTTTTATGCATGAAGTACTGTTTTTTGATGCATATTACTTAAAATTCAAGATTACAAGTAAATTGTGCATATGTACAACTTATTAAAGCTTCATGTTTGAATTCGTGTAACTAATTGCAGATAAACATTATCAAATAGAGGATAAACATCTCATTTTAAATATAAAAAATCTAAAATATAATTAAGATAATCATTGAGTTTTAACAAAATACTTAATCATTATCTTTATAAAAAATTATATTATTAAATAAAAATTAAAAAATATTATAAAGAAATACATAAAAAAGGAGAAATTTGATCAATATTTTTTTTTTCATTTTTTATGATATTTTCGTATTTATATTTTTCCAAAACTTAAAAAAATTATCATTTTCTTAAAACCGTATTATAACATCAACCGAGACAAAAAAAAGTGAAAACATTAAAATCGAGAAGTATCTCGCTGCATTGTGCGAACCCTTCTAGTATTTTATAAAAATAATAATTAAGTATTTTGTTAGAACTCAATAATTATCTTAATTATATTCTAGATTTTTTATATTTAAAATGAGATGTTTATCCTATATTTGATTATGTTTATCTGCAGTTAGTTACACGAATTCAAAAATGAAGTTTTAATAAGTTGTACTTACGGACAATTTACTTGTAATTTAAATTTTAAGTAACATGCATCAATAAACAGTACGTCATGCATAAAAATGAGTTTTAAGAGTTTTTGTCAAATTCTTTATAATATAGTATAAATTTGGGGCAAAAAAAGTGCATATGTAAACTCGTGTGATTCATACATGAACTATATGTTTATATGTGAACCCGTGTAATTCACATATGAATTATTTAACTGATTTAATATGAACTAATCAACTGATTCACATACGACCTATGAATTCACATAAGCACTTGTTTGCCGCCTATTTATAATTATTACAAAATTCCCCCTCTACTTTTTGCTTGACCAATCAAAGCCGTAAATTTTAACCAGTCAAAGCCATATTTTAACTAATCTTAACCGTAGAAAGGGCTAAGATAACTTATCTACTTATCAAATACTTACCACTTCTCAAATGAACCTCTGTATTTCATATGTAGACTCTTTTATTTTCCATTTATACTGACTTGTCCTATCTTAAATTCAATAAAAACTTTGTAGTTACTTGCATATAGAAAATCTATGATTTAGAGTAGGAAATTTATTTTATTTAATTATTTGTGCCATTTGAAGCATGAAAATGCTTTTGCTTTTATTCAAGTATATTTTAATAAATTATGAAACATAAAAACATATAATTTAATCAATAAAAAATAATGAAACCTTTTGAATACTAAAGAGAATATTTTGTTTAACTAAATGAATGAATAAAACTGTTTCACCGTTTATTGAATGAACTCACGTGACTCCTTGTCACCTACAATGAAAGATGAATTATTTGACATGTAGTAGTGAACGATATATGAAATTATTTCATTAACGGTTATTGAAGTAGGATTGAACTCTTAATAATTTCTATTCAAACTAATTTTAAAACAAGGGATATCCTAATAAACGATAAAGCGTATAAATAATGAAACATTTTTGAAAATTTAATGAAATATTTTGAAAACTGAATACTTTATTTTCGTAAGTGAAACTTTTTCATACATAAAACATTTCAAAATATTAATAAATTATATTCATCAGTGAAATTGTGTTCGTGGTCACTATTGAACATGACATTCGTTTCATTACTCAAACTACATATATTTGGTCAATGAAACGAAATCAGATTTCATATTGTACTCATTTTGACAATTCAGATTTTAGGAGTATAATTTAATAAAATAATGTAAACTATTAATGGTAATAATTTTATATTAAAAACAATTGAGTTACACCGTTTATTAAATGAATAACGTGACTTCTTGTCATCTACAATGATATATGAAAATATTTCATTAACGGTTAATGAAGAGTATTACGTTGTTAATTATTTCTAATCAAATTGATTTTAGAAGTATAGTTGTACAATTCATATTTAAGGAGTATAATTTAATAAAATAATAAAAACTATTAATGATAATAATTTTATATTAAAAATAATTGATTTACCACCTTCTATATTAAAGGTTTTTATATTTACGTTTTCATAATTAAGAATAATAAAGAAAAAAAACGAAAATTTCCTATTGATCGAAAGTGATTTGCATAGTTTTCACGAATCGAACGGATAGTAATCTAACCCGCCTCTCTCTCTCTCTCTCTCTATATATATATATATATATATATATATATAGGGACTCATTCAAGGGAGAACTGACTAGTTTGTGGTAATCGTGAGATCCAATCTCAACCACAAATCAATAGATAAATTAGAAAATTTATAATTTTGGTAATTTTTAATTAAAATTTTAATACAAGGACATTTTAGGTATTTTTTATCCTCTCTCCTCTCTTCTCTCTCCGTCCCCGTCTTCCGGCCACCATCTTCCGGTGATACCACAGTGTGATACTCAAACACATATAAGATGCATTGATACCACTGTGTTACATATCTGATCGACCACACAAACGACCACAGTGTGATACCCAATCACATATAAAATGCATTGTGATACCACTGTGGTATCACCGGAGGATGGTGGCCGGAGGTCGGGGGACGGAGGCCCGGAGACGGAGAGAGAAGAGAGGAGATAGGAGAGAAAATACATAAAATGTCCTTGTATTAAAATTTTAATTTAAAATTACCAAAATTATAAATTTCCTAATTTATCTATTAATTTGTGGTTGAGATTGGACCTCACGGTTATCACAAACTAATTAGTTCTTATTTGATTAGGTCCATATATATATATATTGATTGATTTTTTTAATTGTCATTTAATTAAAAATATGCATGTATTGATATAAATAAAATTATATATTTGTGGATTCAAAATTCCTTTATAAAATAATAAAAATAGAGTTAAAAA